TCGTTAAAAAAAAAAAATATATATACATTATTAAGATGTGCCTTCAGTGACATGTTACGATATAATGTGCCATGATTGCTATTATTATAATTAGATCTAGTATCAGTATTATTGATTGTGGCGTCGGTAGTCTTGTGGTTAGGCTACCAGACTTGTAATCGTGAGATTGCGGTACGGGGGCTTCGAGCCTCACGTTCGACGTTGAGTGTTTGGGAAAGGAACTGTACACGAATTTTCCTCACTTCACTTTGGTGGAAATGGATACTCGGCTATAGACAGTGAAAGATTTTGTCAGGTTGATAGTGTTTTAGCGCCTACAAAATAGCAGCTCGCACTGTATGCTTCCCAGGAAGTTGAGATTGTTTCAGAAGGCTATCGGACGGGGTTAATAATATAGATTATAAAGCGCATTGAATTTGTTGTGAAACTGGAATTTGCTCTATTTGACTATTTGCTAGACAAATGCTACCTATTATTTAGTAGTAGTAGTAGTAGTAGTAGTAGTAGTAGTAGTAGTAGTAGTAGTAGTAGTCGTTGTCGTTGTCGTTGTCGTCGTCGTCGTCGTCGTCGTCGTCGTCGTCGTCGTTGTAGTTGTAGTTGTAATAGTATCATCATTATTATATTTTTATCAACGTCATTGTTATTATTATGTTTTATTTTTATTTTTCAGCTTTTCTTTCCAGTCCTGGGCCCCATGTTCGTGCTGTTCCAGTATGCTATCGTGACGATGCTGATCCTCAACTTCTTCATCGTGTTCATCAACGAGGCGTACAGCTCCATCCAGCTGGAGAGAAAACTGACCATGCATGGCAAGAAGTCCAAGAGCCTGATGCAATACCTGAAACAATTTCTGCGCCAAGAAAGCGGGCGTGTGGAGGCAGACCTTCTTTCTGGGGATGACCGGGGAAGCTTCTGGAGGACGGAGATCGTGGACTGGAGGAATAGGGGCTTCATTACTGAGTGAGGCTGGGTGGTGGGAGTGGTGGGGGTGGGGTTAAGGGTGGGCTAGGGTGGGTGAGGGTGGGAGGGGTGATAGTGAGCTGTATGTGAGGTTGCATGGTGGGGTGTGATGAGGAAGGGGTGATGTAAATTATTAGGAACAGGGGCAGGACTATTGAGTGAGGCTGGGTGGTTGGGGCGGGGTTAGGGGAGAGAGAGGGTGATAGTGAGGTGTATGTGAAGTGGGGGGATGAGGTGTGGTAGGGAAGGGGTGAGGTAAATGAGGAATAGGGGCTTGATTATTGAGTGAGAGTTGATTTTGGACTGGTTGGGTGGGATAAATGATTGGTGGGGGCTGACAATGTGGGAGATGAGGGGACGTGGAGTGGGGATGAGGGGGTAGATTGTCGGTTGGAATGTAGTGAGGAAGGCGTGAGGAGGGGATGGGATGGAGTGTGGAGAGGGTGGGATGAGGAAGTGTGATGGGATAGGATGTAGTGGGGAAGTGGTGAGGGGGGGGGGGCGGAGTGAGATAGGAGGGTTAGTAGAGAAGTGGGTGGGGCGGGGTAGGGTGTTATTGGTAAGGGCGGTATATGGTCGGGAAAGGGTGAAAAGAGGGTGGGGGGGTGTATCGAAAGGCTGTTTTGAGATAATAACAACATGATAAGAAGGGTAATGGAAGTAATGGCTCGTGGGGATAGGGAGGGCAAGGCTTCTAACGGCATATAGCAGCAGGGTGACAACGATGAGGATTGAGGGCGGAGGATGGGGAGTTGCGAGTGACGGACTTGTAGTAAAGCTAAACAGCAACTAAAGAAGGAGTGGTGTAGAAAGAAGGGGTGGGGATGTGAAGTAGCAAAGCAGCCAAATGGAAATTCCATCGTCATGAATTTGGAGATATCAAGTTGGGTAAGGAACGTTGAGGTAATTTAGGTTTATAGGTTGAGATACAAGAGCAATACAGAGACGGAATTGGCGAGGAGGGCGTCCTTATGATAATGACCATGACAATGATAATGATAATATATATTCATATCCTAGGGCGAAATTTGTTTTGGTCTCATTCCATGGCAGTGATGTTACAAAGTGTAGGTGCTCTAGATCTCACACATACACACAACAAGAAAGGACATTGAATGTAAACTTTGCGGTCACCTGCCACATTAATGCGACGGTAAAAATTGTCCGTTCCGGTCACTTGACACAGTTCTGCCGCAGGCCAGAGAAATTCGTTGCAGTCATTCTCCTGATTGGGTGACCAGATGGGGTATTTTGTACTGTTGGCTGTGTGACTGCAAAGAAATTTAAATCCATGTGTGAATCTGGATAGCAGGATAACAAGCAGAGGGTAGGATGAGGAGAGTGCTCGTCATACTTTCCGAATGAAAATGAGAAAATACAAATAGATTGAGGTAGATCTAGAAATTATTTTCTTTTATTTTATTATTAGATCTGGGGGTTTTTTTGGTTTAAAAAAAATTTTTTGGGCGGGGGCGGGGTCGAAGGGAGGAAGATGGACGGTGAAGAGGGTCGGGAGAGGAAGGTAGATAGATTGGGAGTG